CACAGCTGTCATTAAACTTCAAATGAATCCACAGTGAAAGAATTAAGGAATTCTATTTCTTGTAAAAAAAAAAAAAAAAAAAACAACTCACAATAGGGTATGACTAATGTCACAGAGGATATATCAGTCTTTTCCTATGTTAAGAGGGATCTGAAAATGTACAACTATGATTTGTAAACACTCAAAACCAATCAAGTATGACATCAGAGAACATAATTTTCATCTGTTCATTACTGCTTTAGGTATGTTTTTCTAAGCAATGAAATATCAGTCAGTGTTTATTTCAGCTTTAGGAAAGTCTGCCTTAAATTATCCTTTATCAGATGAGCTCCTTAAATTTTTATATACAGCGAATAGTAATATCACTATGGAATGTGAAAAGAGATCACAAAACGTGGTACTCCCACAATCTGCCCCAAGCTGCTAAATCAACAAGGTTTCCCCAAGACTGAAATCTTTTGAGGAAAATGAAGACTTAACTCTGTGGTCTGTAAACACTGCCAAACTTCCACAGCAATCTGTGGGAAGGCAGGCCACAACATCCATTCCTTAAGGCAGTCTGATTCTACATGGATTTGCGGCCTTATAGGCTTTTAATCTCTAACCATGCATTCCAAGAGCTTTGGGACATAGGGTTTCAAAAGTCCCTTATCTCTGCATATCCATCTCATATATACCTCTGTGGGGCCGATGCCCCCACAACAACTATTCCTCATTTAGCAGCCTCCATGACACATGCAAGACACTGTTCCAGATGTATACTATGCTCTGAGCAATCTTCTCCATCAGTGATGAAGTGCCCAGCCACCACAATCAGGTGAAGCACATAATTTTCCCAGGATGCCCAAGTAGAAAATTTTAAGTGCTGCTCCCCTAATTTTTTTGCCTCAAAACTGGTTCTACCTAACCTATTCAAACAGAATTCAGTGTAAGGTAACACCTGATTTAGCACATAATTATATACTTCCTTACTTTGGTACCTCAATTTCTTTCATTTTTTTTAGTACGTCAACTTCTGTGCAAATTTGAAAACCACAATATCAAAAAATGAGGACCAACGCAGGGACTAGGTTTCGATCCCAGGCATGCTGTACCGGCCCCGCCCCCAGGGCATACAGAGATAGCAATTGAGACTGGGCATGATAGCATGCACCTATAATCCCATTGCTTTGGAGGCTGAAAACAGGAGGATCACTACGAGTCTGAGCTGTGCAGTGAGACCCTGTAATAATATATATATATATACATATATATATATATTCAAAATTAGTACAGGCTACAGATCAGCTTCCTCAAGGAGTTACAATACAGAGAACAAGCAATAATGTAAGACAAAGAAATGTTAATACACAATGAAAAAAGCAATCACACAAGTTCTGCAGACAACCTGCCAAATAAGTGAAATTACTAAAGAAATGACATGCCATAATGGTAATGAGGAAGAAAGTAGGTTATAAGTTTGGCCTTGAAGGAAAAGGCACTGCATGTGACCAGGAGAGAAAGGGGGTAGCCTGGTGGCATGGCATGTGACACTGCTACTATAGATACCCAAGTTTTAGAAAAAAGCTATGTGAAAATTTTAAACAGTTAACAAATTTTCTAAGCTAATACAAATTTCTAACTTCATATCTTTCAGACTACATTCATTGTCATGTATTGTAAAAATCTCAATAAATGGAAAATCAACAAGATTTCTTATCAGTAATAGAAAATATATGAAACAACAGGTTCTTGACAGGAACTAAAACTAAAAATTTTGTTTTACAAATCCTTTAAAAAGCTTGGCTATAAATACAACATGCACAGAGGTTTTTCTGTGTATGGCTGTAAAGACCATGTAATCCATTCCTTTACAAATATCTGAACTGTATATTCTTGCACCAGGCTACATTAGACCTCTCTTGATTTATCCCACTCCTAAACTCTCATAAAACTTTTTCACATCACACCACTAGCATAGTAAAGAACAGATGAAAAATCATAAAAATCTCACACTTGTGGCTGATGGAAAAATGTTACTCAAATGTACTCTTTATGCACACTACATCTCTGCAATATGAAAAACAATGTTTTTATCCAATGGATGCTGGGTCCTGTAACTGTTCCTACTGATTATCCTACTGGGACACAAGGAAACTCCAAACAGTACTTGCAGACTTTTCTAAGAAATGAATAAACTATATAGTCTGGGTCTCCAGAAGGAAATTTCACATGAGTTTATTATACTACCTTTATATTTTCTTTATCTGATTCGTTTACTTGCTCTTGAATTATTATTTTACAAATTACCTCAAATCCCTTGTGTGGAATAATATGGAATATAATACAAAATCTAGTACTCACAATGAAGCAGAATTAGAGGTTTAAATTTTTACATTCCCCTTTACTTTGATAAAGCAGAGGATTGAAAAATACAGAAAAGATGCTTTGCTTAAGTCCATGATACTTATTGGAATTAATATGTAGTTCAACCCAATCTCCTATATAACCTTGACATCTGGTATATCATTATTCAATGATAACTAACACTCAAACTAATGACCCTGAGCACAAGAGCCTACTATTTAAATTAGTTGACTGTTTTGAGTTTTTGCTCCAAAAAAAATAGAATTAGCCTGTCATCATATCTTAATGTGCCATTACTGTCAAAGCATTCTCTAGTTAAACCCTTGGAAATCCCATTAAACATAATGTTGCATTATCTTACACTACTTAAATTATCTAAATGTATAACTGTGGACATTATCTAAGATTTTATTCTGGACCTGTCCCTAAACTCAGAGAATGCTGTTACTGTCATAACATTACATGAATACTTCCAAAATACCTATCCTATTTCCACTGGACAAACCTGTCATAACTTCAGTGAAAATGACCAAAGGGAGCTTCATTATCTCTCTTCTTCCTCACTTCCACAGTCAATCCTTTCTGAAGACCTCCTTTCTGATAACAACACTATCATTCTGCTCAATTCAAAGGTTTTAGTTGTGCTTGCCATTTCTCTTTATCTCAGGAATTCTATGGATTGATCTTGACCATATTTGTAGTACTGGAGACTGAATTTAGGGCCTTCAACATTCTAGGCAAGTACTCTTATCCCTGTACTACCTCTCTGGCCCTTCTTATTTTGAGACTGGGTCTTATGAAGTTGCCCAGATTGCCCTCAGATTTGTGATTCTCCTGCCTCAGCTTCCTGAGTAGCTGGGATCACAGGCATCTGAAGTGTATTTTCATTTGGAATTTTTTTTTTTTCCATTTGCAGTTTTCCTACTTCATATTCCCTAAGTTGAGCTCTCTACCTCTCTCCATAGACTTTCCATTCCACTCCTTGTTCTATTAGTATAGAGCAAAACAACAAATAAAATCAGAACATTTTGTAAACAAAATAATGGCTGGTTAAAAAAAATAGTAGATCACCTTTCAATAAATTAAGTGGTTAGGGGCCGGGGAGATGGCTCAGTAGAATAAGCGCTTCCCTGGCAAGTGTAAGGGCCTGAGTTCAATCCCCAGTTCCGCAAAAAAAAATTAAGTGGTTAAAGACAATGCATCAAGAAGTTTCATAAGTTTCCCTTAAATCTATTTTCCTTAATGTTTTACTTCTGCTCAACACAAACCAGGACATAAAAATTCTATTAGAGACAACTGTTAGTTAAAGATGTTAAAAACTAGTGCTGGATTTAAATTATACATGATGAAAAGAAAAAAAACCAGGAAAAGAGAACGCACAAATATGCTTATAGAATAACTTATTTTAAAACTCACAATAAGGAATTTTTAACTTATGTAGGGGGAATATGGACTGATAAGAACTTTGGGGTCACAATAATAAGGTTTTTTTTAATCATCACTTTCCTTAAACCTGTAGCAGTAACTTCCTATAACTTATTACATCACTGTGGCCTTCCTCAACATGAAATTTCAGGGCAACATGGAATCGTGTCTTTCAACTAATTATTTCAGCTGTTCCCTAAATCACAATTAACTAATACCAGGCTAAGCAGGTTAATGCATCTATCATGCTAAGTAGCATTTCTTTATCTGGCCTCTCCTCCCTCTCCCAGCCCTCAGCCCTGCCTTAGCCAAATCTTATTTGTTCTTGAGGACATGGATCATGTCTCACCTCAATAATGAAGCCTTCTACTTACTGGTGTTAATCCCCAAGTAAAGATGAGCCCAACCATTTCTCTTCATTATCACTCTATTTCAAGTTACAATCACCACCTCTACTCGAACACCTAAGTTTCCTAATTAAGCGCTTTGGTTCCACTCTTTGAGAATCCATTCTTCAAAACACCCTGGATGATCTACCCAAAACCAAAATCAATCATGTAACCCTCCATTTTGATTAACAGATTCACCATGACCTAGAAGGCCTGCTCTGTCTCTACTTTTGTAACCTCAACTTGTGTCACTCTATTGATTGCCCATAGTTCTTTGGCAGCAATGTTTTGGGGTCCCCCCCCCCATTTCTTGGTATGTGTCAAAGGGTTTCTTCACTGGCGTTACCTGATCTTTGTTCTTCATGTACAGAACCTTGACATAACTGCCTCCTTTTAGGTCTCGGCTCAAACATATTTTTTGTGGAGAGGACCATGATCACCACCTCACTGTAGTACTGGGAACTAGCCTGTTTTACTTACTAGAGTATACGGTTCTGTAGTTCTTAGAAAGCAGCTATCAGGTGTAAATGTTTTTCTTTTGATTATGGTTTGTCTATTAAAATCCTAGGTATATAAAACACCCAATAAATACCTAGTGAGCAACTTATAAGAAGAAATATCTGCAATTTGAAACTACAAATTTCTAGAGCCAGATAAAAATGTAGAGAAACTGCAAAAGGGCTAAGGACATGATCTCTACTAATATGTAAAACAGCATGATTAGTGACTTGAACAAGTTTTCCTAAACTATCCAAAACACTGATCTCTATTGCAATGACTTAAACTTCACTAAAATGACCATCACTGGTCATGATTCTAATAAACACACTGAAGTCTTACTTAATGTTATAATGTCCAGCTTTCAGTATACATCTATCGGGAAGTTGAGCAAGTCTTCTCGAGAGCATTTTAAAATACTTCCTGCACGCCTGCATTCCCGAGCTCTGCTCACAATCAGTAGAAGCAGAAAGCGGCAATCCATCTCGGACACGAACAACTGAGGCAGACAAGATCACAGACATTGCAACCGACAGAGAAGACCTAAAGCAAAATGAATAACTTTGTTAGATAAAAATTAAATTCAAATCCAGTAAGCATATGCAGACGTGTGTTCAAGTTACTAGTAATCTAGGAATACTAATTAAAGCAATGGCATATGGACTTCACTTGACAAATTAGCTTTTAAAACAGTACTTGCTTCAGTCTGGCATTCTCATTAAGTATACATCAAAGTAAAAACATTCTCAAAACAATTTGCAACTCTGGCAAGAGTTTAAAAACATGTATAGCCACTGATTTCAGTAAATTTAAATAACCTTATCTGGAGGAAAATAGAGATTCAGGAAAAAAAAAATCTAAACTGATATCCTACTACTGGAACAACTAAAAACCTAAAAATTCTACAATAGGGTGATAATTAAATAAATTATAGTGCACCCATATGACAACACTATGCAGCAACTAGAAGTTGTGTGTATAACAAAAGGGAAAATGTTAATATGTTGTTTTTCAAAAGGCAGGATAAAAATTGCATATTTTTTTTCACAAAAAATAAAGAATGGGTGGAGAAAATGGAGAGATACAGGAAAGGTACCAAAATCAAAATAATGCTCATCTCTAGGAAAGAGTATTTTGGGTGACTGTTATTTTATAATTTCCTGGATATTTGTAATATTGAAGAAAGGACATATATTACTTTCCCTTTTTTTTTTGGTTTGTTTTGGCAGAACCAGGGATTGAACTCAGGCCCTTGTGCTTGCCAGGGAAGCACTTACTCCACTAAGCCATCTCCCCAGCCCCAACTTTCCCTTTTTTAAAACCACATTTTATTGGTACATTTTAAATATACAGAATGATCACATTCATCATAGAAAATTTGTACCTGTACATGATATAATTTTTTTTTGTCAGTCCCCTACCCTCCCTTCAACCCCTCTTCTCTTCCCCATTTACAAAAGCCTTGGTTTCTACTTTTTTAACTTCTCTCATTCTATTTTTCCCTTCCTATTTGAACATCTTCTTCCTATTTCACAATGCCTCTTATACATTTTGGACCTTATTTACACTCAGTTTCTCATGCTAGAGAAACAAGGTGGTATTTATACATGTGTATCCTATTTATTTCACTTAAGACTATGGTCCCAAGGTGTATCCATTTGCCTAGGAATCTCTCTCTCTCTCTCTCTCTCTCTATATATATATATATATATATATATATATTACTTTCATAATCAGAAAATAACTTCTATCTAATATACTTCAAATTATAAACTAAAAGAATACTGGTTTTAATGTTGTTCTTAATCTTACCAAAAAGTAAATTATTTTGGACATTTTTTATTGTATTCTGATCATGCTTTACAACAAAAAATGAAATTATTTCATAAGCCTGATTCTGAAACAAATCAGGTAACTTTTTCTTTTTGGCGGAACCGGGGATTGAACTCAGGCCCTTGCCCTTGCCAGGGATAAGTTTATTCCACTGAGCTACCACCCCAGCCCCCAATCAGATAACTTAAACTCACATAAGAAGTTGGATCAGAAATGCAAATTCTAGATCCACCCCCCGCCCAAAATTCTGACCTACCATCTGTGGGGTGGAGCCTGAGCATCTTCAATTTTACCAAATTCCTAAGGTGATTACAATGCTTACTGTTTTTAGGCCCATATTTTGAAAACCACTAAATTATAACATGTTCACCACCTGAGATTAAGTGATTCTTTCCTGTCAGGACATCAGAGTGCAGTATCACTAAGTTTTTCTTTGCTACCACAGCATTAAAGGTTAACTGGTAAAAAATAAAAATTTCATTAGGATTTCATAGGCTTTTTAGAGATATTATTTCAGAAATCAATCTTTACCTGCCCACTTAAGTTAGGTCAATATTATCCCATTCAAAAAGAAAAAAATGAGCAAACATCAAAAAGTGTCATAGCAAACCAATTGGTGCAGAGTTTGTAAATCAGAAGTTGACAGTTTCCATTGCTATATAAATTCTAAATCTGACTGTCCATTCATGGTGGTAACTGATTAGATAATAAAATCTAATCCAACTAATAAAGCAAAGCATTAAATTTATTACATCCTTTTCCTTTTCTAATAAGGGAAGGGGAGGAATCTCTAGGCATTCATATGACATTGCCCTCTAACATTTTTTCTTCTGTAGTCATTTAAAAGGAGAAAAACATAGCAAAGAATTAAACCAGTCTTTTTACAATGGTGGAAACTTTAAATTAAAATCTTGGTGTTATATACCTAAATCAGAACTATTGTCCCCATTCATCTAGTTCTGTTTTTCTCTTTTAAAAGGTATTAAAAGAAAGTGGGACCCATAAAAGAATGGTATCTACACTATAAACTTCTCTTTTTAGATTTTATATAATTGTTAAACTACAGTGTTAACATTTAGCCCAAGTATAAGAAAAGAGGAAAATATCTCTATGCCCTATCTTTATATCTAAATATAAAAATATTGTCCTTTTAGGGGGCCAGGAAGATGGCTTAGTAGAATAAGTGCCTGAGTTCAATCCCCAGTTCCACCAAAAAAAA